CCGTGGCCGTGGCCTCCGCCGCCGCTCACTCTGCTGCGCCCGTCGCGGCGGCCGGGCGCGCACTGCTGCTGCAGGCGGCACGGGCTTTCTCGTCCTCTGGCCCTGCGCTGTCTGATGACCTGCACTCGCTGATCAAGCGCGAGCTGCAGCACGAGCAGACCACTTACGAGCAGCCGGAGCCGCTGGCCAAGGGGCCCCCAGCTCCATTCACTGTCAGCGGCGCACCTGGGGACGGCACGGTGACGCTCAAGCGTGACTACAAGGGCGAGACGATCTCCGTTGATGCTGCCGTAAATCTGCAGGTTGGTGGGCTGGCCGGCCAAGCCAGGTGGTGGCTCAGCATGGGTTGTGCGCGACGATTTGAGGCGGCGGCAAGGGGTGCTTAGCCGCTGTGTTGTTGCCATTGCTGCACTGACCCCCTCCGCCCACGCAGTTGTTGGTTTTGCCGATATGATGCGCAAAGCTACTGGCAGCCGGTACGGAGCTGCTGTTATTGTTCTATTGCAAGCCACAATTGAGGGCAGGCCGGGTCAGTGGCAGGGTCTCATCTCCGTACTCGGCGCCCCGCTCGGTCACACTCTCGACTCGCCCTGCTGGGCGCACCTGTGACTGATTGCAGGAGGGCGTGCCGCAGGAGTTGGAGGAGGGGGAGGAGGACGAGGGCGACGAGGGCGAGCTCGGCTCGGAGGTGCGCGCGCGTGGGTTGTTGTGGGTCGCTGTGGTGCCGACTTCTGGGGAGATGAAGCTTCTGGAGGAGACGCAGCGGAAGGGCGATTCTCGCAATGTACGCCGGCAGCGATTGTCCGCCCAGCGACCCCCAGGCGGCTGGCTCATTGCTGAGCTGGGAGTGAATGCGGATTATTTGTTTTCCGCAGGCTGCCATGGGCCCTGCCCGCCTGCCGCGCCTGCCGCGCCTGCCTGCCACCTGCACGCTGCAACAAACCCCTTCCAAAAAACCCTATGCATGTGGCCATGCGCGCTCAGCCGCTCGCTCATCCCATGCGTGCGCAGGTCGTCTTCAACGTGACTGTCACCAAGGGCGAGTCATCCCTGGTATTTGAGTGCGTCAGCGACGGCACCTACCTGGATGTGCGGCACGTATCGCATGAACCGGCGAGCGGCCCGGAATCCGCGACCGCATACACGGGTGCGCAGGGATCGCTGAACCGCCGCTGCGCATGGGCCGCCGCCGCCACCAGAGCCGCCGCCGGCCCATCTGCCGTGCCTGCTGCTGACGTGCAGGCGTCATGGTCGGGACTTGCACCGCGTCGCCGCGCCGGCGCCCTTTCTAACTGCCCATAACCGCCTGTCACCTACCCTACAGTCCCTCATCTGACCCCTCTGAGCACCTGCAACCCCTCTCAACCCCCCAGGTCCGGCGTACGACGAGCTCCCTGTGCCGCTGCAGGAAGCGTTTGGGTCTTACCTGGAGGAGCGCGGCATCAACGAGGACCTGGGGGTGAGGCCTTGGGGACAGGGGAACCAGGGTGGGTGTGTGCATGCGTACTGTGTGTGTGTGTGGGGGGGGAGAGATGAGAGGGAACAATCAAGGCTCTCGTGCTGGTCCTGCTGGGTTGACGTGGTGATCAAGGTCGTGGGTGAGAAGCGCTGCAGGGAGATCTTGGGGGCTGGGGTTTTGTCTTGACTTGTATCCCGACCTCCCCCTCACCCCTCCGACCACCCTGCCCAACCACCAACAGGAGTACCTGCGCCACGCCGTGTATGACAAGGAGCAGCGCGAGTATATCGGCTGGCTGGAGCGCGTCAAATCGTTCCTGGGGGCCAAGTGAGGCCTGGCTGTTGGGGGTGGCATACGCTTTGAGTTGCGGCTTGTACCTGCCTGGGGTCAGCCAGGCAGCTTCTCGGGTTGAGCGCAGCCTTGGCTGGCGTTGTTAGAGTATCAGTTGAGTGAAGTTTACGACGCCGCTGCCGTCACGTGCGGGCGCAATGCCTGCTAGGGATGGGTGTGGTGTGTAATATGCTGTCCACCAGCTCCGTCGAGCACGTTGCTGCAGCATGCGCTCACATTTACGGTCTACAACACCAGCTATGAAATGGCAGCAATTCGCAACAAGCAAACCAACAAGGTTACAAAGACAGATACAAGACGTACGCATGGTTGACAAAAAAACGGTTTGCCAAACAAGACCAAGGCGAAAAATTAAGTTGTGCGGTGGATGGGAAGATGAACGTGACAGGGCGGTATGCTGTGCGTGCTACCTGCAGCGCAGTGTTGATATGAACACTGCAGTATCCCCCGGCTGAAGCTCTGAATCCAGCATGCTGCTGCGGCGTCAAGAGGCAATGTATCAGCGGGGGCGACAGCACTGTGTGCCTGTGACCGTGGCGGTTGTATGGTCACTGCAAACATGAATGGGAAAGCGATGGTGGAATTCGCTGCCACTGTCAGAAACTTGAGCGAGGGCGGCGGTGGGATCAGTCATTTTTGCGACGTGCGCCAGGCCAGGTGCAAGGTGCGATCATGGTGTCATCCTGGGCCGACGGTGGTGCAATTTTGCTGATTACTCTTCTTTGCGATTACAAAGCAGCCGCACCTGGCGGCGGGCAGCAGGACGCAGCAACGCTCCCAAGGGAAGAAAGCCATGTGCCCACATGCAAGCAACCACACAAGCAAGCACGCGTAGCAGACCGTCATTTTAATACAAGCGACATACTGGGGTATGCTTTCTTACCCAGTGTGTGCTTGGTGTATTGCATCCTCTGTTCTCACCTTGTGTGGG